CTGTCTCCCCTCCGTTGTAAGGATTCAGAAAGCTCTGGGGTCTTCAGATGTCTGGGTTCTACCTTGCAAGATGCTCTTAGCAACTGACACCTTCCCAATGAGATAAAAGGTCATACTTTGGAGTGAGTGACATAGGTGGCTAGGCAACCACTGAATCTGTCATCACAGATCTGTCATCAGATCTGTGTGTTGACCTTCCACCCCAGTGTGAGTTTACTCCAGATCCCCTGCATAGGCCCTTATGACTAAAGTCCTTCTGTAAAGAAGGCTGAGACTTCCTCTCCAAAGGTGCTGATCACTCATCTGTCTTCATTCCAAGATATAAACACTGTTCCTATCTGTAACCCCTCTTACTCATGGGACTCTTTTACATGTCAAGACGCCCATTCTGTACAGATGAGTGCTCATGCTGTGAATGAATGTTGACCTACTATAGACCTTCTTCAACTAGAAAAGGTCAAAGGGCCGCCCAACACTGTCATCTAGGTAATTTAGGCCACTTACTCCAGAAGGCCACAAGATGGTCTCAGAGTTGTGAAATTGGACTACAGAATTCCTGCCCCATCAGAGACAAATTTGTGATGTGTCATGGTGGGAAGCTATTTTTTTGTTAATAATAAGCCCGTGGCTCATTCTGTGAGATCAAGTACTCAGAGCACAGCCAGCATCAAGGCTAAGTAAAGACCCTAAGGAAACAAAGGCCTCTTAGCTGCTGTGAGCGAATGAGTCTTTCACCAGTGATGACTGTGAGGGTGGTTTTGAGTGTTTGTTCTCATCTAAAAATGGAAATTTGAAGGGAAGGGTGCCTGTCATCTCTGGGCCTGCACAGTTCCAAGGAAGACATGAATTCTCACCTAAATTATGGACAAGGTTGTTAGGAGGCCTTCAGAAGCGTTTGGGGGCAGTGAACCCTGCCAGGCTGGAAACTATGTCCTCCTTCTCTTTGCAGACCGATGTCTAGTTGTGCATTATGTACCAAAGGAAGTGGGTTAGACAGGTAAAGGAATCTACAGGCTGCCTGTGGCTCTGCCTCTCGGAAGAACTGAGGGACTGTTGAGAGCTCATAGGCTCTGCATATCGAGTCTTAATGTAAATAGTTGTAAGATGTGTTCTAATCTCATATCTTTTTACCCTTGATCCTAGAACTAAAAGAACTTGAAAACAACATCAGGAAGGCCTTGTCTTTCGACAACCGGGGAGAAGAGCACCGAGCCTCGTCTTCTACTGACGGCCAGTTGGCAAGCCCCGGCGAGAACGGTGAAGTCCGGCAAGGCCAGGCCAAACGTTTGGGCCTGGATGAGTTCAACTTCATTAAGGTGTTGGGCAAAGGCAGCTTTGGCAAGGTCTGTGGCACATATGCATAGTGGTGCTGGTTCTGTGGTGGGCAGGCCAACCCCGTCTTGGAACCTTTTCTTTCCTGGGCTAACATGTGGCCAGTGGGTGCCCTGGTTCTGTTCTTCATTGGCTGTGTAATATGGGCACTTCTTCTCTATAGGATTCCATTGTTCTCACTTATCAAATGGAAGGGGGGGGGTGATGGGAAGGAGGGAGCACACTGAGTGGTTTCATGTGTTTGGCATGGGCTCTGCTTTTTACGTCAAGCCTCTCTGAATGTTTCCTCCTTTTCAGAGAGCCATCTGAAATTCTGCTCTCTCAGTAGGATGACTTTGAGCATGGACTGTAACCCCTGCCCTTGCTGAACTCCAGAGCAAACCTTACTATGCAGGACTTTGGAAGTTGAATGTCCTTTCACTGATTTTCCTGATGCTTCCTAAATGTTCTGCTCTTCCTCTCCATGTGACAAAAGAACTGGATAATCATGTTGTGGATCTGGAGCCCTTGTCCTTGAGGACATTTTCCCCTGTTCTCTGCCGAATCAAGCTCCTCATGGGGGCAAAGATTTGATTTTAGGAAGACAAAGAGCCTAGGAAACTGGGGAGTCAGACTTCTGTTTCCTTGTCCTTCTTAAAGCACATTCCCTGGGAGATAATGGGAGATGCCTTTGGGGCCCTTATGGAGAGAGCCTGCTTTGGGGACCAGGCAGCTCTAGGAGTCATGGCACTCTCACGTGTCTTGGGCTCCAGGAATCAGTGTTGGCCGAGCTGAAGGCCCAGTCCATCGTTCCAGAGCCATTCTGAGGGAAGGCCCGAGGCACAGGCCCTGCTCTGAGGACCTTCACCTGCCCCGTCTGTCCTGGGAGCGCCTGGCGGGAGTAACTGGAATTTACTCAGATGGCAACTGCTGAAGCAATCACTTTCTTTAAAAACTAGCTAAATAAGAAACAGATCCCAGGCCTCTTGTCTAGGCATAACCCTGGCTTAGGCTGTGAGCAGGCTGGGTTGAGTTTGAGCAAGCTTCTAGGGAAACGAGCATTTTCAGAGCATCCAGGCTGACATGTGATGTAGGCAGGATCGGCGTTCTGACCATGCTGAGTTCTGACCATAGCTTCTTAGGCAAAATCACAGCCATCACAATACAGTTTTACAGGCTGTACTTTTTATCTTTTTGTCTAGACCGGGTTTCTCTGTGTAACCCTGGCTATCCTGGACTTGCTTTGTAGACCAGGCTGGCCTCAGTGATCTGCCTGCCTCTGCCTCCCTGAGTGCTGGGATTACAGGCGTGTACCACTGCGCCTAGTGTATAGGACACGCGCGCGCGCGCACACACACACACACACACACACACACACACACACATACACACATATTTCAAGACAGGATTTCCCTATGTAGCTTTGGCTGTCCAGACTTGCTCTGTGGACCAGGCTGGCCTAGGATTCACAGAGATCTGCCTGCCTCTGCCTCCCCAAGTGCTGGGATTACAGGCCTGCGCCATCTCACGCAGCTCAGGCTGTGTTTTTGAGCAAGTTTTACAGGCTGAACTTTGTGGGTGACAGAATCTTCAACCTTTCAAGTTCCTTGGGTTATGCTCTTTCAGTTTGACAGGGACTTTGGAATAGTGTACTTCAGGATCAGCCAAAAGGAGAATGGCCTATGTCTATTGGAGATAAATGAAAATATGAACTGAAAGGCAAATGTCAAGAAAAATAGGCCTACCCATTAGCTCATCAGGGGAAGTATTTGTGTCTTCACCTGCAGAACTGTGGAAGAAACCATAATGACAAACGCAGGGCAGGTTTCTGTCTGCGAAGATAAAGGGTTATGTTTAGATAGAGAAAACAGCAGATCGCCATGAGGCAGGCTGGGATGCCTGTGCAGAAAGCAATAGGTTTGTCTTTGTGTATCCTATGTGAACCAACTTAGGAGAAATAGCACAAGCCAGCAAATAATTAGACAGAGAGAAAAGTAACTCTCCCCAAAATAAAATTGATTCGAAAACAAATATCCCAGAAAGGTTGGCTGCAAGTTATAAACAGAATCAAGATAATATCTCCCACTTGTTAAGTAAGAGAAAGCAAACAAACAAACAAACAAACAAAATTATAAGTGAAAGCAGCCTCTGCTCATATATGCTACACACTAAAATGGCACTGTGTCAATGATTATCGCCCTCCTAAAAAATGTAAAACGTGAAAAATGTTTAACCCTTTAGTTTTGACAGTTTCTGTTGTAATGCCAAAGAGAAATTTAAACTGTGTCCAAAAGCACCCAGTGTATCTTTACATAGTACTTAATTTGATATAATTTAAGTTCCTAACATGGAGATAGCAGAATAAATTACCATGCATTTATTTTTTAACCAAGTACCAGCAGTCATGATAATGAGGGAGACCTTGTAGGAAAGTACGTATGTCACTTCTAGTGAAAGTCCTCTCCGGCTGTGTGGTGAGCGCACACCTATGCTGTCAGCGCCTGGGAGGCTGAAGCAGAAGTGCCATGAGGTTGAGACCAGCCTGGGCTACATGAGTGAACTGTCAAGAAAGGGAGAAAGAAGGGGGAAAGTGAGAGGAGAAGGGTAGAAGGGAGAAAGAGATAGAAGCATGCTCTATCTGTGCTCTGATAATTACAGTATCACTAATGCAGATGAAGACATGAATAACTACATAACCCCTGAGCACTGTGCCAGAGACTTAAAAAAAAAGTAGCTGAATTAGGCTGGGTAGTTTCCCTAAACATTTGAATTATTAATTTCCTAAGCATCTTCATTCAAAATGAAAGGAAAAAAAATAAAAGCAGTTAGCATCATTGCTTAATTCTGTCTGCGCTTAGACTGACCAGATGGTTAAAATCGATTGCAGGTTATGCTGGCGGAACTCAAGGGCAAAGATGAAGTATATGCTGTGAAGGTCTTAAAGAAAGATGTCATCCTCCAGGATGATGATGTAGACTGCACAATGACGGAGAAGAGGATTTTGGCTCTGGCACGGAAACACCCTTATCTAACCCAACTTTATTGCTGCTTCCAGACTAAGGTATGCCTACGAAGGGACTGGCCAGCTGTCTTGGATGGTATTGTGGAGCATAGCACATTGCATCTCAACTGTCAGAAAGCAAGTTTTGACCCTCTGCGGGCTTCCCTCCAACACTGCATATGGCAGAGTAGATTTTACCCTTTCAGAGAGGGGTAAACACAATCTTCTTTAAGGGCATGTGACTTTTCCACTCAGTGTGCACTTGGGCAGGGACCAGAAGATCGATAGCACACTTTGCAAATAGTAGCAACACAAAGCCAAATGGCTAACCCTAGCGTTGACTCATTGGAAAAACCAACAGATATGGTGTGTACCCTGCTCTGGCTCCTAACTTTCTAATCAGTCAGATCACTTCTAGGCTGCTTTCATTCCCCACCCCCACCCTACCCCCCTCAAAAAAGAAAGAAAGCAAAAGGAAAAATCCTTCTTACTTGTCTGATGTCGTAAGAGATGCTGAATCTAAGCAAATGCTTGGAATTCCACAGCGAGATTCAAGTATTGTAAAGTTTACCGGATGGGTGCCTGGATGCCAGCAGGTGGCAGTCAAGGGACGAAGATATTTTAGCAAATTGTCGCTCCCACCTCAGTTGGTTTGACATTATTCTTAGGGGGAAAAAAAAAGTACATGTTCATCATAACATTCTTATTTTATTTTCCAGTTTTGAGATGCATGTGGGAGTAAGTCTTCTAGCATGCATTATGGATTTGTAGTGTTTGGGTTCTTTGGAAGGCAAAGACAGCTTGAATGCAGACTTCTTCCTGTTCCTGCCGGGAGCCTAGGCAGGCGAGGGTTGCTTCAGGACGAACAAACCGGGGGCTCACCTCACCCGTGAGATTTCTGGCTCTCTGGCATGCTCTCACCGCCATGTTGTCCAAAGCGTCATTCCCTCTGCTCAGAATTAAGAAAACTACTCCTCTTGTCATTCAGAATCCTTTTATTCTGTTTGTATTGAGTGTTTCCCATATGCTAGGTCCTGGTGGAGAAGACCGTAGTCGGGCTCTCTCTTTGCTGCAGTGCCCTCAAGGCTGGTTCTGAGAGCCCTGGTTAACTGAGGAGCTTTAAGAACAAAGAACTTCATGGCCCATGCTTCTGTCAGGGCTCTCAGGACACATTGTTGACCAGAGTCCCTGAAGAGTCCTGCAGTGGAGAAGAAAGATAGAAAGATCACCTTAGTTTAATCACTATTGCCCGGTATCCCACACCTAGCCCCCCCTGAGCAACACTGGTCTAGGAAAGTTTTCCTCTCCTTCTGATCTCCTCAGAAATGGGGAGCACCTAAGAATGCCTGACCGTCTGTGGCGTATTTTTCAGGAACACCAGGGTTGCTCTCCCTGTGAAACTGTCCTCAGAGACCCCCATTTCATAAGAATCTGTTTCTTTCTCGAGCAAGCCCAGGACTGGGTGGCTAGAGCTCATTTTTCTTTTAAATTTGTGTTGTGTAATGCCAAACAGGTGGGTGTGAGTTCACGTGTGTGTACAAATGCAGAGTCCAGTGTGATAAGCAGTCCAGAGATGGGCTCAGCTTGCTCCCCACCTCCCCGCCCCCGCCACCATTATAACTTGGCAGTTGTATTTTTGTTTTTGAGACGGGACCTCATTCCGAAATTCAGTTCTCACTGGCCTGAATCTTGTGATGACTTTGTCCCTACATCTTAAGTCCTGGCCTTACAGGCATGAGCCACTGTGTCTGACTCTTTTAACTCAAAATTGCAATGTTTTCGGAACCAGATGTCTTTCTTGTCCGTGGTCTTAGCACATGGGCTCACATCCACCATGTGCATATTGTCAGTCAGGTGTGTGGAAGTTTTTTGAGTTTTGTCTTCAAAACAATAAGAACAAAACCCACTTAATCTACTTTTCTCTTAGTACCACTGAGAAAAAGTGTCAGAGATCCAATCGCCAGGTTTTTGTTTGTTTGTTTTGTTTTTGCTTGTTTGGGGGTTTCTTGTTAACTGAGGTGGCTGTGTATGGAGGGGGCCCCTTTACCATTCTTTCTTTGAACGTGTGGTCAGAAGGTCCAGGAGCCTGAAAGAGCCGGGTCTGGTCATGAAGGCTCTGTGGGGTTCCTACATATGGAAAGCCACCCTTGGAAGCCACAGATGAAGGGCTACTTGATAGATACAGAAATGAGAAAGGGCACATGCACTGAATGAGAAGACATGCACTGAACATGTCATGCATGTTCAAACATGCCTGTCAAAGTCAAGGTTTCTGGTTGGAACACAAAGTGGCACTGAAGGTAACATGAATTTTGCTTTGGGCAGAATAAGTGAACCGGCATGGTTTTGAGGGTCTAGGTAGTCGCAGGAAAGAGGACAAACTTCCTCTGCACTTCAGAGATTTTCTTATTCTCCCCTTAGGCCAGTGTCAGCTAGCTCAAGTCACAGGAGTAGGTTGACACATGTTTTACATAGCATGTATGTATGTTTTTCTTAATAAATTATCATTATTTATTTATAATTATTATTTATAATCTTACTATAGGACATTGATTTACTAATAAAAGGACCTTTATGAAGAATTGTCTTAAAGACCCCATATTTAACTTTTAAAAACTGGCTTGTCCTTTCCTGGCCACCCTTAAGCTATGGCTTAAAAGGGTGGCTGTTATCCTCCTGATCGACATAGGCACTGTGTGTGGGGTCAGCAGAACACAGATTCTCTTGAGGAAGGGTGACTGGGTGACTGGGTACAGAGCTGGCGGCTCATACTTCTGCAGTAAATTAACATTGTTAGTGTTTCAGTGACATTAAAACCAAGAGGATTCTAGAGCTGCTGTTCTTCAGGGTCTAGTGCAGCAAAGGTGCTTTTGATGGCTGAGATTTGGGCAGGACTGGTAGCAGAAAGGGCAGCTGTGTTCCATGGTCAGTATTCAATCTTGCTTTCATGATGTTTTTCCTGAAAATGTACCATTCCTTGGCCACCATAAAATTGTGGTTTTGACTAAGATTTTCATGCATGATCAAAACCACAAATACCTGTTTCAATCCTGTCAAGATTGCTGTCTCACCTTTGATTAGAAACATGCAGAGCAATAGCTGTGCTAAGTCAGGTTTGGGGTGAGCCTCATTGTGGTGGTTTGAATGAGAATGACCGCTATAGGATCAGGTGTTTGAATGCTTGGTCTGGTTGGTGGTATGTTTAAGGAGGCTTAGGGGGTGTGACTTTGTTGAGGGAACTATGTCACTGGAGGGTGAGCTTTGGGGTTTAGAGGCCTCTCACCATTCCCAGTGTGCTGTCTCTTTTTCCTGCCTGCTCCTTAAGACCTGAGCCTTCAGCTTCCTGCTTCTGCCACCATGTCTTTACATTGTGGACTGTAGCCCTTGGGTGCCATAAACACAAATGAACTCTTTGTTCTTCAGTTGCCTTGGTCATGGTGTTTTCTCACAGCACTAGAAAGCTAATAGACTCAACCTTTATAGTATATGGGGTGTGGGGTGGGGGATAGGTGTTCTGGAAACTGCTTGGATAGCTTCCTTGCAAATTATGCTTTAAGCTGTGTGCCATGGACAGGCTGGCAGGTAGAGCTTGGAAGAGTGTAAAGTAAGGTCCTGTGTCTTATGTGGCAATAAATGATGATGTCTGTGCAAAGCCATTGACATTGACCACAATGGTCCACTCAAGTCTGATGGCTGCAGCCCACTGAGGGAGCAAGCCAAACTCAAATAGTGACTTGAGATTTTTCTGTACAAGACATTCTGTTCTTGGTAAGGAGTGTGCTGCAGTCTTCTTTCCTAGGCTGTGGAAGAGGAGAAACAAATGAAATGACTCCTGATTTCCAGTGCTAGTAAGGATGGTCAGATAGGGCAGTCAGTAGAGCCACAAATTACATTTTGGTCAAATTCAGAACTTCACTTGAGATCCTGCTGTGTTGTGTGCCTTTTGGGTTTGTAGAGAACCTGAATCAGGCTAGAGCAGCTACAGAACTGGATCTTGAAGTAGGGTTAGCATTGGGAAGACGATAGGTGCCAAGAGATAGCTCCAAAATTCTTTCTAGATTTCATTTTGACATTGTCCCCACACTAGACTTTACAACTCTCATGTCCTGATTATTTGTGGGAAAATGACACAAGGAAAGAGGTGAAGTTTGGGAGGAGGAAGTACATATTGAGAAAGTAAGGAAAATAAATTCTTGCAAAATCGGAGGTTGATGAGAAAGGGCCAGCAGTACTGTGAACCCTCTTTAAGGGCCTGAGGGTCCCTCCTAGACTCTGAAGTGCATGGCCTTCCTGCTCCAGGTTAGAGCTTGGTGGAGAAGTTACTTTTTAAGAAATTGCCTGTTCCGTTGGCTGCTAGAGCTCAGAGAACCCCAAGAGGTAGCTTTATTTTGATTTTGTGGTTAACAGAAAATTAAAATTCCCAGGCCCTGTTAGACTCTGTTTGTATTTTATGCTCCCCATTGCAAAACCATCTCTTCCAACTGGATCCCACAAAACCTAACTTGGACAATTTCACCCATGGTGTTGCCTCTTTAAAACTTGCAGTTCTGTACCCGTCCCCCACCCTCTGGCATTTCCTGCCAGGCCTGGGAAGCCAAATCCTGGAGGACTTTGCTTTGAAGGAAACAGGCCTGAGCTCCTGCAGGATCTCCGTTGGCCAGCCTCCCTCCAGCCCCGGGGAACACACAGCATGGAAAATCCTTAAAAAGCAACCGAAGATGTTTTTCAAATGTGATTTAATCACTTCTGTGGGCATGAGGAGAGCTGCTCAGAGCAAGTGTTGACAACAGAAGAGAGAATTTGTAGTTTCAAGGAACTCTAATGTTTGTTTTGACTTTTAACAGAATAGCAAAACCTAAAGAAAAAAATGGTGGCAGGAGTACATGACTGGCAGAGTTTTAAGATGAGATGGCAAATTAATAAAATTAGATGAGTCTAAGAAAGTAGAAAGAGCAAGCTGAATTGTGGACTGTGGTCCTGCTAGACCACATGATCTTGGAGGTCGCAGGGCCTCAGGGGAGCTGGGGGGATTTTCATCCTTTTGGTGGCTGTTTCTGGAGAAAAAAAAAAGCCTGAGATGTTCAGTCCTGTGGGTTGTTTTGGATTAGTGGCCCACGGGATGGGGTGGGGTGCGGGGAGTCAATGCGCTTGCTTGCTGGTAGAAGGTTGTGAGTAGTGATAGGGTTGGTAATCTCTAGCAGGTATAATTGAATTGTATCTTTGTGAACTATTGGGGCTTTGTGTGGCCTATGGCATAACAGCTTACCCAAGTGATTAAGGTGTGGAAACATGTCTCCCTGGGGGCTGAAGATCGCCCTGTGTGATGGTGCTAGGCAACAATGCCATTTCTCCTGCCTGGCCAGTTCACATGGTCAGTGGCCATTGTGACCCACAGGTGATGAAGGCTTCTGGAGACTCTCACAGGAGGGTCAGTGTTTAAAGCTACTGAGTAATTTCTGCTGCCCTGAGGAGGACTAAGGGATGTATGTATGGAGGGGCAGAGGTGGGCCTGCTTCATGCCACCAGGCTGATGCAGAAGGCTGTCACTCAGATCTTAAAGCAAGGACCCATTCTTTAGTGAAATGCAAGGCGATAGAGTCCACTTTGCTCCTGTGCCCTGGCCCCACAACAGACATGAAGGAGTGCTGTCTCTTAATCTAGAGTCTGTTAGACCAGGTGACCTCTCTGCATGTAAGGAAACCTAAAGCCTGACTTGAAGACTTGCCTTCAAAGACCTTCATTTAGCTCATCTTCTTCCATGTTACCGGGAGGTAAGTTTGAACATTCTCTTCTTTATTTCCACTTTTTTATTATGACAAATGAACATAATATTTATCATCTTTGGAACAGGCCTGGAGGCTGAGGCAGGAGGATAGAAAGTTTGAGGTCGCCCTCTGCTATATAAGATTGACTCAACAAGAGAAAGATCAACCAACCAAACAAAACCCCCAAACCAACCCAACAACAAGCAATACCTTTGCTCTGGAGATGGGGTGATTTGCACATTTACACACCTGTGTGTGGGTATGGTCACCTGCCCCTGAACATGCGAAACCAGAGATAGGTTTGGAGTATCCATCATGTTTCATATTTGAAACGAGGCCTTGATCGCTGAATCTGGAGCCTGTCGTTTTGCCTTGGCTAGCTGCCGAGCAAGCCCCCTGGGCTTTGCAAGTCTTGCCTCATCCACAGTGGGCTATTCAGTCATGGTGTGTTGACCACCTTCTATGTGCCATGTCATGAGGCACCACATTTCCTGTCATGAGATGTAGTGGTAGCCAGGGGAGGTCGTGATCTTGCCTCATGGGAGCATGCTCATTGTGGTACAGTGTGGAAAGGGCTGCCTTCATTCTAGTTCCCAGACACAGGGCTTTGTTTTGGTTTTGGTTTCTGAGGTAGAATCTTACTATGTAGCCCTTTCTGGCCCAGAACTCACTGCACTACATAGACCAGGCTGGATTCAAAA